CCTGTCATATACGCTTATAAACTTCAACTGAACTCACAAGTCGTTAATCTAAACAAAAGTCATACGGCGTGGAAACAGAATGCAAAGACAATGTCACTTTCATAACACATTACTCCTCTGGCAAAAAGACGGGGAACAGTAAAACGATAGACACCACTGAATTACATATAATCCTGTCAATCATAAACAAAAGCTTGCGATATCAAACAATACGTATATAAGCACACCAAACTCTCATCACAAAAAGACATTAAAAACGTTACAAAGGTGCTCTAAACTCAAAAAGCGTCAGAAGTATTCCGGAAACAACACATAAACAAAAACAACTCTTAAAACGTCGATATCTCTGTACATCGACAAATCTCAAAACTCTGAAAAACTCGTGGGGGCATCACTCTCCCCATTATAATCCGTACTCATAAACTCATAAAAACTCCATAAAACTTCACAAAACTCAAAACACTGTGTTGCAAATACTTGTCCACTGAGGCGCGCTTAAATCGTTATAAAGGACCTTGCACGTCACCAAATATCACTTCGAAACAAAGATCTGGGCGCTTACATAACATACAATTCGACATCACAAAAAAAAAACGGTAAGAAAAACGATAGGAAAAGCAAGCAATACATTACATTACTGAACAATAGGGTTGGGATTGTGAAAAGAGTTCAACGTCCTTGAGTTACAGCGTCCGTTACAGTGTCCAACGAGCGGTTCTCTAAGCAATACACAGATAGCTAAAGTCAAAGTCTATAAGCGTCTCTTCTTTTGTCGCGTTAGTCCGGGTCGTTCTTTTTCTTCATCTTGTCCTTAATGTCGCTCAATTCTTAATTATTCAGTCCTATACCATACTCATCCTTCCGTAGGGGCTTCAAAGTCTTCATCTCTTCAGCGTCGTTCATCGGTGCCATACTGTTAACGGTGTTAGTCGTCAAGCGCGGTTTCGTCTCTGCCATCGAGCCAGTTAGTTCGGTTCACAAGAAAGACACCTCTTTGTCATTTCACTTTTCTTCACAGGATGTCAATGTGCGTAAGACGCAATGCCCAGGGTTCTCACACCACGTATCAGGGGGAAAATCTTGTACTCTCGGGGTTCTCCACACTTGTCAGGGGGAAATCTCGTCTCGTCTCTCTATCTCGTCCCCTTGAGGTACGGGATCGGGAAAGTCACTTTAACTTTACAGTCAAATAGGACACACACAACGGAATACGTTTCAGCTCTCGTCTTAGTCGGTCAATCGAGCACTCTATAAGACACAGCGCCCTGGGGAAAAAATCCCCAAGACTATCGCAAGGCTGACCCAAGACTCTCTTAGACTGCGTCAACACTCGCCCCAAGGCTCTCCAGGACCGGACTCGACTCGTCTATCGTGGAGTTCTCCCCAAGACCAACTCAAAACTCTCTTTATTCATTTTCAAAACTCTAACCAATTACAAAACAGTAAAAGACTCTAGGGCGTAACCTTCAATCATAAAGCCAATCACACTAAGCACTGAATATGTCATATCTTTTGATTAATCGTTCACTACATTAATAACTATGGATATAAACTGTCAGAATCTTAGTCAGAATAGCGGCGGTTATCTGGTAATTAGTTCCAAATCACTGAGCCAAGTTCCGTCCAAAACTTCAAATAGGCCTAAACGATGACAGACATAACACAGCAATTCGCTAATAATCAGCTAATTAAGTCGATTAACAGATACGTGAAAACAAATTCATGACAGTATATAGCCAATGACTATTAGCCAATTTAGCAGATTAGAGGATGGTGGTTGGTCTCAATCTAAAATTTATGTACAAATATGGTTGTAACTTTTTTATTTCCTAAACCATTTTTTTTCAATCACTGCATAATGCAATTCTGCATGGCTAATCTTTCTGTTCGACTGCCATATTCAAAATGCCGCTATCTTTTTCTATATACTAGTCATTTTTCCATATTCATTCCTTAACGTATTCATGTCTTTGGCATTGCGTCTGCAGCTTGTCGTAAAAATCAGTGCTCTGTATCATGTAACCTGTGACCATGTGTACTAATGATGTATCTTTGAGTCTACTTAGCGTCGGCGGCCTTTGTTACTTTGAAAAATAAACATTATTACAACCTCAAGGTCTAATCGAAGGCATTTAATCGAATATCAGATGATGATTTATCTTCTTTAATCTGAAACTGAAAGATCTGCAGGTCGTGGCACATTTTTTCTTTTCCATGTTTCCATGGGTACTGGGTACTAGATTTTCAACCTGATGCGCACTCTTCACTTGGATGAACTTGCTGATACTTCACTCCTCTTCGACTATCGTATAAACTGGGGATATAGATAAATATGCAAGTCAAATGGGAAATGGGTACTAAATGTCTACTTCTACAAACTATCACCTCTCATTTAATTCAAATCTCCAACATACTCACCAACTCATACGTACCTGTAGGCAATTACTGGCTCTTATCCCATCCATGGAGTATCTAAGTAAACAATGTAAATCATGCCCATCCAGTGACACTGATTTTGGTTGATTGAAATATCGTTTGGAGACAATGAGACTAAATCTAAATAGACCTTTGCCGGTGAAGCTAAAGTTAAAACTATATTTCCAGTGCATTCTAGGATAGAGCTGGACTTATCTAATGATATAGTAGGTCATACCTATTCAAGCATGATTCACGGAGAGTGTGTGGGTCTCTTCTCTATTAAGGAATATTAAAATACTTAGACGATTTAAAAAAAAAAAATCACATAATACTATCACAACCCACTGACTTACGAATCTTAATTTTGCCTATTGCATTTTCGACATACCAGTCGATCTCCGCCGTTGGTGGCAGTATATCGATATTTTCCATTAGATCTGACAGCGGAATAGTCATACGCAGCAGATGTATTTGAATAATATTATACGTAGACTTATATGTGATAGGCACCCACGTGTTGAAAAGAAATTGATGGAACTAGAAAAAGCTACATATCACTAATTTCGAATTAAAGTTGTTGACAGTCCCTGACAGTCCTGTTTGAATGTATGCTTCTTATTACTTTAGCGACATCATTGCATTACGAAAACGTAGGCGTTTATCGTTTAACCCTACATACAAAAAAAGTTGTGTATGTCAATTTCATTAACTACATTGTATGCGTATTATACCACATGCAACTGCTTCCGGCTATATTTTAATATTTAAAGAAAATCGCAAATCAATTTGAATGCTAGGATTTTCAACAATACTATCAGAAGTATCAGTATTATCACGTGAATGAAATTGTTATATGAAAGCATTAGATCTCTTTAGGATCGCAAACATTATCATATATATCCTATAAATACATAATCCAAATCCGTACGTAACATTATTAAAGATGACACTAGCACGACATTAGCGCCACCATAACCAGTACTTGTAAATTCTCCATAATTTGCGTCGTTGTGTTGCCATAGTGACTTCACGTACGTTTTACGACGTTGCAGTATTAATTTAGACAGTATAAACATATATGAATACATTGTTTATTGTGTTCAGTAGTCACGTGACAACCTTTGAGACACATCCCTGGTAATCACGTGATCATGCCAACGACTGCAGCCATTGACTATTCTGCCAAGCCTTACAGTTTTATTGGAGAGTTTGTAACATTTTGTAAGAGAATGAGACAGTGAGGCTCTACCGTGACGTCAGCTGGAGACAGTGAGGTTCTACCGTGACGTCAGCTGGAGACAGTGAGGCTCTACCGTGACGTCAGCTGGAGACAGTGAGGCTCTACCGTGACGTCAGCTGGAGACAGTGAGGCTCTACCGTGACGTCAGCTGGAGACAGTGAGGCTCTACCGTGACGTCAGCTGGAGACAGTGAGGCTCTACCGTGACGTCAGCTGGAGACATTGAGGCTCTACCGTGACGTCAGCTGGAGACAGTGAGGCTCTACCGTGACGTCAGCTGGAGACAGTGAGGCTCTACCGTGACGTCAGCTGACCATTTAGACGTACTAGTATAAAGCTGGGCTGTCTGTAATTAACGTATGTGTTTTCCTTTGGGTCGAACCTGATATATCTAAAGTGTAATTGTCATCGGCTCTCAGGGGGTCACTCTATATTAAAACCTAACACCATGTGCGTTCTTGCTAAAATAATAGACCCCTAGGGCTGGCAGCACAATGGCAGACCATACCCCCTATTGCGGACGCAATGTAAATTTAGTACCCCCTAGACATATTGAAGAAAAAACACCCCCTATTGCAGAAATATATTGAGAACACCCTACTCCCATTGCGAGCATTCTCTGCCATTTTTTCACTCAAGTGGAGTGTGATTAACTCAAACAAGCTACTTATGGTTGACGTGTATGCAACTCCTGCTAGGTGTCATTCGTTGTTTGATGAAGAAAGATGAGAACTATTGATTTGATTCGGGCGGGCGTTTGGGGTATGGTTGGGGCTATGCGACCGCCAATTCGGGCCTAGGGCAGTGTATGGAAGTGGTGTTGCAAGAGGGGGCTTACAGCGGGCGCAGAAAACCTGTGAGTTTATTCATGGGGCCTATTGCAGACATTATCATTTTAAAGGGGGACTATTAGTCTCCCGTGGGGGCCCGCTTTAGAAGGTGAAAAACACCCCCTTTCCCGGCTAAATTTTGGAGGCACATGGGGTAGTAACGGCATATAGAGTGACCCCGGGCATCGGCTAAGTGAGTCGAGTTAGCCTGCTCTTTCATTTAAGATGTCTAGTAGATTAAAATAACACATTGGCACCAGAAAATGAGTTTAGCTATTTACTAATTTGATTTTAGACAGCCTGGTCCATTTAAATAATCATCATACAACAACTGTAGTATAATATTACATCAATGACGTAATACAATCCCGCATCCGTCCTGGCATTCAGATCACCAGTGATGATGACATAAACTTCAGGTAATTTAATTAAAATTCCAATATGCTAGTTTTCGAATAAATTAATTCCATTTCAGGGTGCAAGCTCATAAAGGTGCACATCCTGCTGAAATATACAAATTCAAAACGTAACGTCTAAACCATGTAAATTCTTGTCACAAAAGTTAGCAAGATTGGGCCGAGGCTGATTTCTTCGTATATCCTCCATTTCCTGTTACTAATTCTGAAAAAGCGTGTCAGTTCGTTGATTTAGATTTCCCGCAATTTGCTGCTCTGCTTGTCATTTCTCAGTTGTATTACTATTGTTGTGTTCTTTTTGGTAACGATTAGTTTCCGCTTGTGTAATAAGATGATTTACATTGGAGTGATATTTTCCCTTTAGTTCCCGTAAGGCCAATGCCGATATGTACGATATTAGGTGTGTATAAACGCTGATATCATTGCGCGAATAATTCGTTTGATAAATAAGGAACTACTATTGTTAGTAACTGGCTAAAAAAATAATCTATAATATTGCTTTTTTAATCAACAATAAATTAAAACATTAAATATGTAAAAATGGCATGTTGAGTAAAACTACAATGACATACCGCCTAGTGGTATTATCAACATTCACGAGATGTTCTGTTATTCACAACGGTATACATTCTATTAGTACTACCTCATTTTGTATACCTCATCGATGCATTGTGTTAATGATAATCAAATTATATCGCTAAGACCCCGCGCCCCAATTCATTCCGCCTTTGATCTTATTTGCCACATCGTTTTACTTGACACTGTGTACTCTAGGTTTGCAACAAGGCGATGTAAAGTAGATCGAACACAAATGTGATGGCATAATGATCTATCTAATTTTCTGTGTCAGCTAAGGACTCAGGGGTCAGTCGCAGCTGTTCACGAGCGTAATAGTGATGATGTCACAAGAAATAGTAGAAAAAAGTAAATTCAATTCTAGATTTTAAATCCGAAAGGATTCCGAGGATAATCATTTAACTTGTGGGGTAAAGTGCAATACAGTCCTACATTTCCTCTACATCTTGTGACGAATATCTAAAGAAATATTTTATTTAACTGTTAACATTCGTAAAACACAACATGCCTCTAAACACATAATTTGAAATAAAGCATAACCTTTGAAAAGTGTACAATTAAATACGATTAAAACTATTCCTTATGTCAGTAATATGTGTAAAAG